TGCTTCTGTAGCTCCTGTACACTCATTCAATAGCACCTTTGTTCCATGAATGCAGCAGTCTCTGACTGGTTTCTTTTTGCTTGCCTCTCCTTAACCTCATTCACACACTTTACAAAACCACCAGATACTCTGTTGGACAAATCTTACCTTTCAAGAGGTGTAGCAAGGGCAAGAAAACCAGTTAAGTTTAGGGGGTTTTGATTTATTAATTAATGTGTCTGCCTGTGTTTGGGAGGACTCGATTCAGTGACCCAGACAAATCATTTGTGGACCATGGTCCTGAGTTCAAGGAAGAGATTGGTTGTTAGAGCAAGGTACAGCATGAAGGGAGGTTAAAATGCATTGGCATGTTTTATAGCTTTCCTCCACGTTGCTTGCCAGTTGCATTCTGTTACTCACTTGTCCTCCACCTTTTTAGTCTCATTTGCTAAACTATCTCTTGCCCACGTCTCTTCATCCTCTCCTGATTGATGTTCATTAGGCCAGTAATTATTTCTAATTCAGTGCTTATGAACTGAGGCTGGTATTTATAAAAACCATGGTGCCAGGAGTTGAACAGTTGTTCTTAGATGTCCAAGAGAAAGTCAAAGCTGTTGACATCAGTAGGAGTCATGAACTCCTATGTGTTACAGTCCTGTGCTGCAGTTTGCACACTGCAGAGAGTCGTGAGGAGGAGATATCTGTTAGGCTTTTGGCCAGCTGGTTATTCACATGGCTCATTTCAGGGAGGAGAGTAGCTTTAAAGGCTGTTTTCCCTAGCAGCTGCAGCCGTGCTGATGAGAAAACAGGGCAGTTTACAGCTGGCAGCAGCAAAGCTCAGCCTCCTGGTCAGTCACCTCAGCTCCCGAGTGCCTCGGCCACCCAAATCTACAAGCTGAAAGGAAGTGGCAAACAAAGAGAGAGATAAAAAAAGAATGTATATGTGGGCTGACATAAAAAGTAAGGGAATAATCCCTAGAACGTTGTTTTATTTACTTACAATCTTTAGTTAGGTTTTCTGTAAATATATAACAGCGCTTGAACTACCTGCGTTTGAATTTACCCACTGATGTGTTTCCATCCTTCAACTTTTGTCCTCTCCATACTTACCTTTGGCAGCACCTCATGATGCGCTCAAACACTGGTGTCTGATGGGGCAAACTGTACCCAGTGGGTACAGTAAATTGGGTAAAAAAGTACAACCCTCATGTCTGTGCTAGAAATGTACAGAGTAGGGCTTACTCACCAAGCAGAAACAATGAGAAGGTAATTGAGAGCTTTCATCCTGGCACATTCCTGTAGTAATCTAAAATCAATACCAAATGTCATAGGAGGCTCAATAATATCTTAAGAGCAAGCATTCTGCAATAAAAATGAAACAACATGTCTTACAAAGAATGAAAGTACGTGATTGTTCATACACATTTATACCATCTCTTCTTATGTAGGTGTGTTCATGCTTAAGTGATCAGAATTCACATATAAGAACTGTATTACAGACTAAGTTATGTAACAACTTTCATCATTTCAAGTAAGCTTTAGCTTCTGAGCTAGCTACTTAAAACCTCTGCTGTAGTGCAAGTCAGATTAAACCTCAGCTAATACATATAGTTTTTTCTTAAATTTTTTATTTCTGTGGGTAAATAACCAGCATTCATGACTGTATCACCTGTAGCATATTTAAATATTGGGCAGATACAAGCATAACTTTTTGAAATGAGATTCACTTTAAGGGAAGGGGGAAAGTTTTTCTTGGAGGGTAGTAAGGCACTAGAACAGCTTGCCCAGAGAAGTTGTGGATGCCTCATCCCTGAAAGGGTTCAAGGTCAGGTTGGATGTGGCTCTGAGCAACTAGTGTCTAGTGGATGGCATCCCTGCCCATGGCACGGGGGCTGGAGCTAGATGATCTTTAAGGTCCTTACAAACCTGAGCCTTTCTACGATTCTATGAAAAAACAGGAGAATTAATGAAATACGTAGTAATAACCCCATTCTTTTAAGAAGGAGCATTAGGGAGCAAGGCAGAAGTAGCTCTTCTTTCCAGATAGTTTTCTGGGGCTAAATCAGCTGACTAGATGGTTCAGTTGCTTTTAAATAAAAGGCTAGATTATCCCTAGCGCTCAGGTTGAGGTTACACATTGAATATCATCATGTTTAAGTTGTGATTTCAAGAAGCACAGTCAGAATGGTGCTCATTCTACCTAAAACACGTTTTGAACAATTTCTAAGTTGTTGTGTTTGTCTCATGTAGGTCATGGTTCACTGTCAACAGCCTTTGCTTTGATAAGCAAAAGGTGTTTACCATACATGACACAATAATAAGCAGTCCAAATATAGCCAGCATTACTGAGGCACCTAACCTGTGCCTGTAGAAAGGTAACAGCAGTAGTAATGTGCAACTGTAAATGCTCTGTGGTTCCAGAAGGGGTTGTTTCATCAGCTTACTGAACATATTTAATAGTATCTTCCTTATGAAATTCTGTAGCATAAAAACCACAGCTGAAGGTTAGTTTATAATCAGTGTTCTTTTACTCACAGGTGGTTTGCAGCTAAGACATAAATTAAAATTTAAGACTGACTTTCCCTGGATTCATCACTCATTTGTGGAGTGCTTTCTTTTCAAGAGCCCAGCTATTCATCAATCCTGCTGTTATGGCTGCGCAGCTCCTGAAGTATCTGCAGGCCTCCCATTTTTCATTGTAATTCAGTTCCTTTTGTAGAGTCAGTAAACACTGTAACATAAGAAAGATGGTATAATGGCAGATATAACTTTTGGAGGTGCTCTCTAGCTGTGGGCCCACTGAACTGTTCATGATGTCTGAGGGGAGCCAGTGATACCTATTGGCCAAGTCTGTGGTTAGCCAATGTTGAGTAGGAATGAATACCTTTGTCAAAAATCGTGTCACAAGACCCAGAAGAAAGTGTCCTGTCTGACACTGCAATACAGGAGAGCACAAGCTAACAAACTGCAACAGTTAGCTCTTTAAATAAATAACCATGAATTCCCCTATTTCACCAGAGCAGACAAAATAAACACATTTTTACACAAATCTCTGCCTGCCTTTCTCCTTCCTATGCCTCCCTTGCAGGTCAGACGTCTCTCTGGTTTTGCTCTCTTCTCCAACTGCTTTCGGTGTCTCTCAGCACTTTCTGATCCTATGTGGTATTTCATTAGTAAGGAGAAATATCTCTTTCTCCACATCACCTCTGAAGTATGACTATGGCACAAGGAACCCCCAGTTCCTCTCTGTGCTATCCCAAGTCACAGTTGTGCCCCGTATTTCCTCTCTATGCCCATCTCTTGGTTCCTTCCCTCTAGCCTGCCAAGTTGGGCTTTCTTCCCCTTGGAAAGGCAGCAACCAGCAGAAGGCAGATCACCTGCCTTTCTGTTCTCCTCTCCTTTCCTATTTCTCTTTGGCAGAAAAGCTAACTCTGGTAGCTATCTGCCAGGTGCACACCCAGCTGCTCTCACACCTCCTCCACAGAACAGGGGAGAAGATAAGGTGCAAGAGCTCAAGGCTTGAGGTAAAAGTGGGGAGATCACTTACCAATTACCTTTACAGGCAAACAGGACTCAGCATGGGGAAAAGTAATTTGTTGCTAATTAGAAGTAGATTAGGATGGTGGGAACCACCTTCCCCAGCCCCCTTTACCAGGACCCTGCTCCTTGAGTCGCAGCTCTTCTCCCTCCCCTGTCCCAGGGGGATGGGGACTGGGGGCTGTGGTTAGTCCATAATTGTTCTCTGCTGCTCTTTCTCGTCACACTGTTCCCTTGCTCTACTGTGGGCTCCCTGTAGATAGTAGTTCCCATCAGGACAGTTTTCTCCAGGGACGTGTCCCATTATGGAGAGCCTTCTCTCATCCATCTCTTGCACGTTGGTATCTGCAGACTTGTTTTGCGTGATCCCAGAACTGTTAGTATTGGAAGGGACTTCTGGAGATCAGCCAGTCCAACACCCACGACAAGCCAGGGTCACCTAGAGCAGGTTACACAGGAACACAGCCAGGGTTGATTTTGAATGTCGCCAGAGAGGGAGGCTGCACGATCTCCCTGTGCAGCCTGTTCCTGAGTTCTGCCACCCTCAGCATAAAGTGTTTCTCACACTTTTTTCCCTTGCCCTTCTCTTGACCAGTTGTTTTGCCTTTTCTTATACCTGTTTTCCCTGAGACACCCCCACTGTCTGCTGTGCCCAGCAGTGGGTCAGCTGGAGCAAATGGAACCGTCTGTGTCCAGCACGGGGTGACTGTGGCTGCTCCTCATACAAGCCCCTGCAGCTCTCCCTGCCAGCACCTGTGCACTTAACTCCATTGCCATGCAGTATGGTTACTGTAAGCTGTGGATAGGTAAAACAATAATGCAATTCCTGATCTTCAGGTATTTGTAGGACCTGAAACAGGATGACTTTTCAAAAAAATTTGTTAGCCCCACTGATGCTGGTCACCTGAACGTTGGTTGCCTGTGTGAGGTTACACATAGTGTGGAGTGAAGGATCCTTCAGAGGCTGGCAATGGTGTTGAATTGTGTCAGAAATCAGCATGACTGGGGTTTTAGATGCCTAAATTTTAATTGAGTGGAGTGATATGAGTTCCATCTTGACACCTCAGATGAACACTCAGAATCAGAGATTGCTCCTGAAATTTTGCTTTCAAATGTACTCGAGTGTTCTGTGTTGTACAAAGCAGATGTAACCCTTTCCCTTCGCTTTCTGAAGTCAAGCAGCATACGTTACTTGAGGATAAACTGGGTTTTTGTTGGGTGTGGTGTGTGCAGTTATATTTTGGTACTGCTGAGTGCATTGGTGTAGCCTCTTTGAATTCACAGACCTGCATGCCCCTAGAAGTGCTCACATCCAGCTGTGGCACCACTGGGTGGCTTTACCCACCTATGAGCTGATCTGGGAAGCTCAGCACAAGCAGTGCTCTCCAGCCAGAGCAGGCAGATGTGTTGTGCGCCCTGATGTTGTTCTGGGACAAGATTAATTTCAGCACACTCATATTAATCCATTATATGTCTCTTTCCAGCACAAATGGACCCCCGAGGCCTATCTCCCAGACAAATTAAAAGTGACAGTGATGATGACGACCTGCCAAATGTGACCTTAGATAGCGTTAATGAAACTGGATCTACAGCGCTCTCCATAGCCAGAGCAGTACAAGAGTAAGTATCACATTCCCAGACAAGATGAGTGGTGCTGAGGTGTTCCCAGGCCGACAGAGGCACTGGTGCTGCAGGGCTGTCCTCCCTGCCAGCACCTTTTCCGTGGAGCTTTATTCCTTTTTGGAAGAGATGACTGTATCTCTTGTCTCTCTCATGCTCTTTTCCTTTCTTTCTCTCTGCCCTCATTATTAGGTTGAGTTTCAAATTGAAATTGTTTCTTGCCCTTAATATACTTGGAAAGCTTGCAGTGGTTTTATATCATCTCCAAAGAGAGACCAGGTTAGATTACCACTCAAAAAACATGTATTTTTTTTCCTTGGCTGAAAGCAGCATCAGGAAGTTGATTCTAGTTGCTGTCAGATAGCAGCTAGCAACATTTCTCCTGGAGCACAGTGTCATTGGAAGGAAATTACTGAGGGACTTCAAACAGTTTTTACACTGCTGTTTTTTTTCTGTGTACTTTTGCTAACTGGATCGACAGATAATTTCTTAATTTAGTGCCTGCGCTGCTTGTTTGAAAAAAAAAAAACCACAAAACAGTTTATCACGAACATTAGCAATTCTGTAGATGCATGAGCTTGTTCAGTCACTGTAGCAGCTGGAAGGGAACCAACTGTGAGGTAAATAAGTATTAATATCCCCATTTTATAGGTGAGGAAAATGAGGTTATGCATAAAGGTCACCCTGTAGGTCTGAAGCAGAGCTGGAAATAGAACTAGAGCCTCCAGGCACTGAAGCCTGTGCTAGACCCACAAAACATGTTACTTTATCTGAGATGTTCAAATTCTGGACATTATTAAATAAAAAATGTTTATAATAAAGGCTATTAGACATTGCTATTGTATAAATAATTATAGATACATTTTTAATGCCTTAATATGGTACCTAAAAACGTTTTGCTTTGTTTTCCTGGATGTCGACAGCTAAAAGAGCTGACATTTCTAAGACACATTTGGGGAGGGACTGCCTTTGGGTTTTTTGGGTTTGGTTTGGGTTTTTTTGCATTTTCACCAGACATATACTGCTTCATCTTCCAGCCAAACACTGTTACTCTGAATCTCAAACTGATATTCTCCTTAAGCAGAGAGGTGTTTGTGGGCAAGGCAAGACAAGGTGTTGGTTCTGTGATTAGCAGGCTCCCTTTCTAACAGTGATAAAGGAGGGGAAGGTTTCTTTGCCAGTGAGGCTATTGCTTGATAGACAGGTCCCATATGTATTTTCAATTTTCTAGTCACAACACCAGGCCCTGAAGTGCTAAGTATTTTTTCTCAATTTATAGCACACATAGTAAGCCACAAAAATAAAACAGTATGTAATGATTTTGCACTAAATGATTTTGCACTGTCTAATTACTGATAAAAGGAAGTATGGAGCACTAGGAAATAATTTTTATATATGACTGGCAGGCAAATACTGTTCTCTGTGATGGATATTGCTTGAACACTTAGAAAATTGGTCAAACCATGGGAAGCTTTTTTAGCTTTTGTATGATGCATTCCACAGTTTGTGAAGGTAAATATGTTGAGTATTACTTGACTGGCTCTGGAGCTTAAAAATTAAATTAAGAAATTTAATAATATAACATCAACTTGTTCTTGTTACAGGTTTTATTTAAACAGTAATCTGTTAGTTTATTTCAAAAGCCCCATTAGGAAAATCTAATTTGGCTGTGATCTGCAATTTGTCATCTTTACTTCATTCTCAGTCACAGACACCACACATACAGCTGCTGAGTTGAAAAGGAATGTTGGCACTTCATGCGGACTGCACTCAATCTGTTTCTTACTTGGTCTGCAATATTGTGCCCTACAGGCAGGCTCTCTTTTGATTTTAGGCATCTAATATGTACCTTAACATTTGATGTTTAGCAAAGGAATCCACTGAAAAAGAAGCTCTCATTCTCCATACCCTTGTTGCAGAGAGGAAAGTGCCTCTGAAGCTTTCCAAAGGGAGATCCTGTGTGCTCAATTTCAGCATCTAAACTTAGCAGACAGGAATTTCCTCTGAGGACATGGAAAGGCACCTACTGTTCTGCTGAATAACTGGGTAGCATAGGGACAAGCATAGAAGGACTTCTTCAGCAGTCAATAAAGTGTAGGTCAGAGCTTAGTGCCTGAGGGAGGCAGACTGGCCCTCAAGTCTGGACAACTGTCCCACAGAGTGTGTTCTTTTCTAGGTGAGCTTGTAAGCTCTTTCTGGTGAATAGTTGCCCAAAAAATAGCTTCTTGCAGAGAGTGGCTGGGAAATACCCCACAGTACTTCCAAAGCAATGGCAGCATCCTTCACTTCAGTACCAATTGGTGTTGTATAGTCTTGTCTTTGTTAAACACAATACCACTTTGTAGGTACTTGGTAGCAAGTGCAAGACAACAGCTGACCTTTTCCTGCTTGTTTTTCAGACATGTTCTAAATTATTCTGCATAAGAATTATATATATATATATATATATATGTATTTGCCTACTGCCACCCATTCTCTAAGAGCAGTAAGGGTGTTCAGACAGTGAGGATTTCAGTATCTGATGGTGGGCATTTGCTTTGGGTTGATCCTGTACAGCCCCTCACACACTGTATGGGACTGTGATGGATTGCTTCAGTGCCTTGCCTTTCCTTGCCTCCTGCCTTTCCCTTTGCCTTTCCTCGCCTCCTGCCTTTCCCTGTGTGCTGCCTGTGGGGCTCAGCATTCATCTTGCCTGTGTGGCTGTCTGCATCCCAGCAGTTACCTGACTCCCTGCACACGGGCCAGGTAGCGCTTGGCACGTTCAGGCAGCAATCCCTCTGCCCTATTGGAGCTGTCTGATTTGGGACAGAGAGAGGCTCCAGGCTGTGAGCTGCCGTTGCTCTCCATGGCCCAGGGGCAGTGCAGACAGCTGCCTGGGACACACGTCAACACTGCAGATCCTGGTGCGAGGTGAGCCACGGCAATCCACAGCGCCTGACTGGGGAGCTGCTGTGCCAGGAGCTGGGAGAGACAGGATCGTACCGAGTGCTCCCGCATCTTCCCTTGCATCTCAGTCTGACAGGTTTTAACCACAGGGAAATTGGCTCAGTTTTTGGGGAGAAACTTGTTTCAATACAGCCATTTTTAAGCATGTTGTTTTGGAAATGATGCTTACCTAGCTGGGTCACAGGACAGTTTGGAATGCCTATTTGAAAGCTTTGCTTTTCCCCTCCTCTTAAACTGGATGGCATCCACCTATGTTGCTGCTTTGCTTCAGGTCCACGGTAGTCTTACAGGAACAAAATTCTTAGGAATAAAAATTGTGACAATGAAACACTAAGAGCAACATGTTTGGCATTAGTTCTTATTTACACAAACAGAATGTAATTTGCTTGCATATTTGTAAAGTGACCAAGTATGACTATTTTTTCTCAGGAAAATTGCCTTCTTGCTTCAAGCTTTATGTTGGCTCAGCTTCCAGACTTCTTTCTCAGTAGTTCTGTTGGAATGAGCTCATAGTTCTTCAGTTCAACAAACCAAATCAATAATGTAAAGTTACAGATAAATAAAGTCTTTATTTCAAGCAGGGTACTTTAGTGAAATTTCTTCCTGTGACAGTGCTGCTTTATGGAAGTTGCTCTGCCTTACAAAATACAGACTAAGAATAATTTATTAATCTCAGATAATATGCTCTGGCTGATAATAAATATTGCAGCATTATGTAGATTTCAGTGGGCTTTGCGTTGTAAGCAGCATTTCATCCTTTTTGTGGCATGTTTTACAAACTCATTTTGACATATAACATCTAACAAAGAGCAGATTTGCTTCTGTATGTCTGACACCACTGATGCTTATTACACAGGAAGAATAGCATTATACATTCAGAGCGAAATCTCAGATACACTCCAGAAATCTTTATGAAGCCAAGGGAGGAGAAGGCATTAGTCAACCCCTAGAAGACCAGTAAAACTTTCTTAGGGTCCCTCACAGAGGCAACATGCTGTTCCCTCAGCCTGGCAGCCTTTCCATCCCTAGGCAGAGTTGATGCAGGATGGCCTCAGGAGCCATCTCCATGGTACACAGTAATGCTAACCCTGAACAGAGAATTCGCCTCCTTATTTCCTGCACACTTGTGTGGTACAATACATTATTTTACAGCATGCAGCTCTCCCTCCCTGAATATGCATAATTTAAGATCTATTTGCAGAAGCTGAGGGCAGAAGCAGGAGAGGCAGAGGGTGATTTTTAGCAGCAATTTTTGATCAGTATGTTGGTAAAAATCCAAAGATGCAGAAACTCCTCTTTCTCTCCCAACTTTTTTTTTCTCCTTAGGTGTTATAAGTGAAGGAAACTGCTTTGATGGAAGCATTTTTTCTTTCAAATGTCAAGGAAAAGAGGAACTGTGCATATAAACTGATGATGCTTGAGATAGTGTATTGTTTTTCTGGAGTAAGGGAGAGACAGAAATTTCAGAGAGGAAATCCTGTCTACTTGTAGTTATAGCTGCAGTTAATTCACAGAGATAGGATTTGTCATTTGTATGTGACTGTTCTGACCTTTAACATGAATTCCTCTTTGCACTGAGCTGGGTGTCTCGGAGTGCTTGTATGAAAATGAGATTCAGGACCCTACCCCTGTTCTCTTTGGCTGCTTTATGTGATTGATACGTTGATGCTAATGTGATCATCTTACTTTGTTTTAAAATTCTCTGGCATCTATTACTGCAATACAGTAGGAGTTAGTTTTGGATACTGCACTAGCAAAAAAGAGATTCCACAACAGACAGACAGCATAGCCACCATACCAATGTACTCTCTTAAATTAGCACATGCTTTTCAAATCTGATTTTTTTTATAGATCTCTTTTTTTCTCCCTCTTCTTCTTCAGTGTAAATCAACTTCTGTGGTTTATTTTTATTTCTTTTGAAGTTTGTGTCTTTGTTTCCATCAGCCATTCATTTTCTACACTGGTATAGTTTGTTTTTCTGCTTTGGTTGCAATCATTACTACTGTTATGCTATTCATTATAGGAAACTTCCACCTCAATTTTTTTCTTCCTCT